AATCGTTTGCTTATAGTAATCAAGTAGTTCATTTAGTGTTAATTTGGGGTCTTTTCATACATGCTCTCTTCTAACTTATTTATACAAGATTTTTGGACGGCCACAATATCTAACAACCAGTGTTGTCCCAGCCTGCTCTCCCAACATAAGTTCCCTGTGTGTGTGTGTGTGTGTGTGTGTGAGTGAGTACGTACGTACGTACGTACATGTGCTTGCTCTGCAAACATGTGCGGCACCACCGTGGCTCAGTGAGTTGTTTTGCCTCCTGTTCCCGCTCTTCTCGCGTTTTGGGACTTTTACGATGCGTAATTATCGTCCTCGCTCTCTCTCGCCAGCAGCTGTGTTATATGACGAGTGCAAAGCTTTCACCCTGACATCCCAACTAGGCCTGGAGCAGGAGAGGCCCATGTCACGGTTTATTTTAACTTTAAATTAATAAACAGTGAAGCTGTCCATTTAATTACTTTATATACATAAAGCCTTGAAGACAAACTTCTCCCAACACCAATTTGGCAGCTGCGAGCTAGCAAGGTTGCTAGCTCAGTTGCTAAGTTCACACAAGTTATTCAAAAGGTTTGTACCACTGACACCTCTATCACACCTGTCTACAGACCATTCTGGATCAGCTTATATTCTGACAGAGGAGATAAATAAAAATGGATGGTGCAACACGGCCTTCTCCATCTGTGGTCTCTCTGGCTGTCTGCTCCCTCAGAGGTCATTGTCAAGACAGTTGGATGTTGGTCAATAGTGTGAATTTGTGCATCACGATTCACAAAAGTAGAACTGGACAAAATTTGTATGGATTTACTTCACCCTCACATGCCACTCCACAGATTATGGCAATTCCATTGTAATGAAATGATTTCATTTTGCTGTAGAAAAGCAACTCTACCCTTGTATGTACAATGTATGTACCCCACTTAACCTGCAACCAATTGCTCACCAGTGCTTAAAATGAGAAGTTTGTTCAGGAAAAAGTTAGCTGTGTTCAAGGACAGTTGTCCTAAGAGAGGTCATTTGTTACAAAATGTTATCACCCATTCCTCTTCACCCTGACCAGACCCACTCCCAAACCTTCCTCTCTTACACTTTTTTCAGAACGGTGCAGTAGCTAAAAAACAGCTCAAACTGAGTGCAAAATTGACATTATGTTATGATATAATGCCTGATAACAGATAGGCAGGCTATTTGGGGTATGAACAGACCCTTAGTAAGGCTTATCATTGTAATTTATACCAACTTTCATTGAAAAGAATGCAGTTTATGTTCCTACACAGCAAAAAGTTGTTCAGTTTCCTCCTGAAAGTAGCCTGTAAATAAGAGATCTTAAACTGAAAATAATGACTTCTCAGCCTTAAGTGAAGATTTTTTAACACTGGTGCAAACTGGAGAGTCTAGAGAGCTTTGCTTTTTGATTATGAAATTTGACATTTAAAGTTTATTGTTTAGATATCTGAACATTTTTCTGTTATTAAACAAAATTGGTGTCAGGCTAGAAAGTATCTCAGTGGCATTTACATCATCTTAATTGGGCCAGTTATCCATGGGGATACTAGAGACTTGACACCAAACAACAAAATAGGACCAGAAATGCAAATCTCAAATGGTTTTTAACAATGTTCACACTTTTGGGGGTAGATTCTTTTTCTGTAAGCCCAGTGACAGTACATTAAAACAATTCCACATATTTAAAACCAAATGTGAGAAACACAGCATGTCTCAGCAATGCAGTGAGGACTCTCAGTAAAGCAAAAAATAACTTGCCTTGTTATATCCTGAACTGGGTTAGAGCAATTTTTGTTAAAGTTCTTCCAAGTTCCAAAGATGTCACTTGCAATTTGTTTATTTCGATAATTCTAATGCTGACCCACTTTCTGAACATGTGATGTGTTTTAAGTTTATCATCAAGTTAAGCCATTAGCTACTTGAAAATATTTATTATAGCTAGGAGGGAAAGACAGTAGGTCTCCAGAAAATCCACCTCTCTCTTTCACAAATGCACACAAACACATGCACACACGCACACAGTGAAGTGGACACCCAATAATCAGGCATGTGAGGACCCAGCTCCACTGGATGATAAGACTCATTCTCTGATATTTCCAGTTCTGACTCATGATCTCTCACTGACTGGAGGCAAGGACAAAAGGGATCCTTGGTGCGTTTTCTCTGCCCTTCACTTCAGTGCAATTCACTGCACTTCACTCTCAATTTGCCAGCGAACAGATACACATCAGATGACCAGGGGACATGGACACATTTGAACAATTTGTGTGTCCACTGCTGTGATTTCCCATACTGGTGAGATCAGCATGTGTGACAGTTTGAGGTTGATTTTATATTGATGACACACAATCTCTTTTAGAGAGAACAAAATTTCCCAGCCACTATAGTTTTTTAGTTTTGCCTTTAGGGATAATGTTCGAATCTAATAGAGAGCAAATGCGAGTAGCACAATTTCAGTGCAGGTGCTTTAGAGTAATGGTGAGTACCACCACCATAGCCATGTTGTTGCCCCCTACTGACCATGCTAGTGCCCAGTTATTAACTAAACCATAAAATGAAAGCACTCATATGGGCTCCAACAGTGTGCTTTTTGATTTTGGGCTTAATAAATACTGTAAAACTGTCTTCAAAACTGACTTGACAATGTTTAATATTTCAGAATTCAGACTTTATTCTTTTGTTGAAAGGAAAAAAAATCTTTAGAAAACGTGTCTATATTTCTCAATGTAACATATCAAATATAACATCCATGTATTTATAATATCTTTTAGTAACTAGTGTATTGGCACCCGAATAAGAAAAGTTCAACTGACACCCAACCCAAACTTTAAACGAGTCAAGCCTTAAATTAATTAATCTGATGAATCGGCACAGAAAGAGAAAGAGAAAATAATCAAAAAAAAAAGTGAACAAAAATTAAATTTTCAACCAGTTACACCAACAAACCTGTTCACACTGTGGCAGCTATCACAGCCAGTGCAACATAAATTGACAACTTTGCAGTTTTAATGTATTTATATTGTATTTCTTCCTTGGAAAAGGACGCTTAACAAAACCTGCAGAGACATCCCACAAGCAAGTAAGTCTAGTGGTAGAAAAAGCTGACATTCAAGTCTTACAGACCTGAAGTGTTGCAACAATACAAAACACGACACAACACTGTCCACTGTCTCTCTCTCTCTCTCTCTCACACACACACACACACACACACACACACACACACACACACACACACACACACACACACACACTCTCTTAACCCTCACCCTCTCTTATGATACCTATGATATGAACTTTGTTATTTATTGCAGCCTCGTTTCCTGTTTCTCATTTCCTCTTGCTGACAACAATCCAGTCCAAAACCTATCATACCAATCCAGCTTGTGGTCTATTTTACATAACAATCTTCTTTTCACATCTTTTACAACAGTTCCTGTTCCTCACACCCACACCACCCCCACCACCCCCCACCTCTCTCTCCATCTCATCTCGTCTTTCCTATCTGAACCATTTCTCTCCATCTCGCAGCCCGTCCTCCACTTTACTAATCTCCTCGCTGCCTCCAGCTAAATGAATCACCCTCACATTTCTCTTCATCCCAGTTTGCTCCATTCCCATTTTCACCCACCATCCCTCCCCCTACCTCACCACACCCCTATCAGATCCTGCCTGTCTTTCACACCTGCCCTCCTCTTCCTTCTCGATCCCTTCCTTTTTGCTACCCTCCTCCCTCTCATTCCCTCCGTACATTGCGAGCAGAGAGGCTGGTAGGAGAGCATATAATTTCTCAAGAGGACGTGCTGTCAGCTGACTGCTCTCCGGGCTAAGAGCTGCTCTCCTTGCCCCTGGGTTCACAGAGTCACGGCTCTGTTCCGCTCCAGGATTATGCAGATCTTAATTCCCTTCAGCTCACACCTGAGGTTGGCAGGGCATGAAATAGGGAAAGTGTTCACTGCAAATAAAAGTTTTTGCCACCAAGAGGGGAGGGGACAAGGACGTATGGAAGGAGGAAGGAACAAGGGGAAAAGGGAGCTTGGGTTGCTTGTGAGACAGTCTGAGTGAGTGAATGTGGGAAGGAAGAAAGACATGAGGTGTGTGTTAGTGGAAAGCAAGAGAGAAAGACAGAAGGAGGGAGGTGTTTTTGCCTGTCCCCACACGCTGAATACACACTGGCTGGAGCCTGCCACACCACATGTGCCATGCGTGCTCAACTCGATTTCTCATATTCTGGAAACATGAATCCAGATGTTTAACATGCGTGGCATCTCTCAGGTTTTAAAGGCAACGGATGGGTTGTTTCCCAATGAGCTCTTTGCTCACATGTTGTTGGTAAATTGTTAATCACCCCATGAATATCGTATCATTCACTGGAGTCTTGACGCTACCTTTTAACCTCCTCTAAAAGCCACCAAATCAACCGTGCAATGCAAGTAGGAATTCCACAGGTAGTTTGCGGCCAGGACAGGTTATAAGGCAACAGTGTGAGATATTTTGTGCAATCGTTAATTAGTGCCAGAAGGCTTATTACTAATTTGCATTTGCTATCTGTTTACAAACTGCGACCATGTTATCAAATTGTGATTTGAGGGATCAGAGTTTGCGCCGTGCGTAAAAGACCTGGATTATTATTTATTTATTTCGTTTTTTTGATAAACATGCCCATCTCTGCTCGCATGATCCGCTTTATAAAAGGAAACGTCTCGGTTTTTCTCATTTAATATCTAATTAAATGTGACCAGTATTTTTGAAGATTAGTTAGCTGAAGGTAACCTCAAACCTTTCCTTCACACCGTCATTAAAGACGTTTTCCACGTTGTTTCTCTCATCTACGTATCAAGTTCAAAAAGTAAAACTCTTTAAAATGATAAATGTGATATGAGCAGCCAGTGGCGTCGACTCTGCGCGTCGAAAAGTTGATGTAAAGCAGTAAATGAGAGAGAAAACAACTCGCATAAACAACAAAGAAAATAATACATGTTAGTGCGCCTCACCTGATAAAGCCTCCTTGGAAAAAGCAGAAAGACAAGACATACAGAATCCGAATGACCTGTGGGAGCATCCTCTGGCTCAAAATCTCTCCTCAGTCCGACTGAATAAACTTGCAGAAAATAATTTCGGGAATCAGCAAATCCACTGAGCAGCTTGTGAGACTGGGTTAGAGGAGGAAGGCATCGTCTCTCTCAGTGATCCAAGCTTGTCTTTGGGGAAACTTCTCCCCCCTCCCACCAAGTCCACAGAGGGCTGCACACATCCACACAGCAAGGCTCTCTGCTTCAGGCAGCTGGACAGCTCTGGTCAGTCAGTCAGTCAGTCAGTCAGTTGCTGCTTGTGTTGAAGGGGAGTGTCGGTTTGCGTGTCAATGTGTGTTTTTTGTTAAAGTGTGGTTTCGCCAGTTTTTTTTTCCTCTCTCTCTCTCTCTCTCTCTCTCTCTCTCTCTCTCTCTCTCTCGTGTGTCATCCCCCCCTCACTCCAAAAAAATTAAAAAAGGGGTGAAGATTTAAAGGAACAGTAGCTTTTGTTTTGATGTCTTCCTCATGTGTAATTAGCCTTAATCAGGATGGAGGGGAGTGATGGCTGTGATGATGAGCTAAATTGCAATGTTGAATACACGCTGGTTGATGACCAATCTGGAGTGAAACACCAACTGAAAATTCAGTTAGGAAATGTTTGAGGAGGAGGTCGGGGTTGGGGTTAGGAGTAGAGTCTATATAGAGCTGGTGTAATGGGCTTAAGGTGGTGAGTGAAAGTTTGAGACTGGGAGTGAATTCAGTCAGTATCTATACGTCAGTGTAAATTCTGAGATTTTAGGTTCATGTTTTAGGCCACCAGAGGGCAGAGCATGTTGAAGTAGTTTTTGTACACATGGGGACGATTTAAAGCTGCACTAATCAATTTGTATAAGCTTAATATGAAAGGAATTTCTCAGTGAGGAACCCACAGAGAATTATTTCGTAACTGCGCACTTTCCGTCAGCTCCACCAAGCGTCTTATCGTCTTTCAGCTCATTGTTTTGGTTTTCTGGCCACTAAACATGACTCCAAATGAATGTTAATGTTACTCCATTTTTGGTTTATGTGTAAATAGGTAAATATTTGCTAACATATTTGCCAGAACAACATTATGAGTTTAAAGAATAGGCTACTACATGAATTTAGCAATGTAACATTACTCACGATGGACAGTTGAATAAATAAGTGGCAAAATCGATGCAGCAGAACCAGCGATATCACCTTTTTTTATTCAAAGCCTCCTACATTACCCAAGCTGCAATAGTTGCGGCTGATGTAGCCTCGAGCTGCTAGCCTCAAGCAGAGCTCAGGCTGCAGAGGTCTGGCATAAGCTCCCTTCTTTCTAATGCCACACCGCCAGATTTTTTTCCTTTTTTCATACTCGTACTTTTCAGCTTCAAACGACGCTGACTCTAGTGACATAACTTGAGGCAATTTATCAGACTGCACACAGCTCCTTCTGAAGCCACAAAGGCCTTTATACAACTTTTTTTCACATATGCAGCAGTATTTCCCAGGGCCTGTAAACACACGTGATGGAGTTCATCAGCTTGTTCTCCTGACCCTGAATGGCCAAATAAATAAATTAATAAGGCAATTTATTTTTCATTATCTCACTATGTAGAACAAGTTTATGTAGTTGTGAGAGACAGAAAGTGTTTTTTTTATTTTTTTTTTATGGTAGTAGTCAACATGGCTTTGACTGGGTTGGTGGGAACAGTGTGCATTGCTTTCTGCTACTGTGTCTTATTTTACTACCAGCAGCAGCCACCAAAATTAGACATGTCCAGTCCTATAAATGTGGATTTAAGGTTGGACACCTAAAGCTGCTTGGTTTAGGATAGAGACAGAACACAGCAATAAAATATAATAAGCCAATAATGAAATGTACTGGGTGGAAATGTTGGTCTCTGGCGTGAAAGTTACGTAACAACATGCATATTCGCTGCACCCAACTGATACATTTAGTATCAGAGAAAAAGATTTTAGTATAAAGACACTAATAGAAATTTTTCCGGATATTGTTACTTTTAAATTGACAATTCAGTGAGTTCATTCCACAAATGACGAGGCCTTTTCCGACATCTCAAAGCAGGTGGACTTCTCAAACAAGTCCACCATTATTCTACTTGTGGGAATGAGCTCTGTCTCTGCCACTGGAGAGTAAATCTGTGTTGATTACATACCTCCTAGGTATGTTTCAGATGTGCACTGACTCAGGATATAGATCAGTATATCTGCACTCTCAGTATCCATTAAAGGCTCTGTATTAGCGATCACAGGGCAGTAGCACAATGTGACACATCACTCACAGGGTTTGACCATTAAATTGCTTGTGTTGCAGTCATTTTTCTTCCCAAGTGGATTCTACCCAGCAGATCTAGTGTTTCCTAAGCAGGCAGAGGTGTCACCCTTTTCTTGTTCTCTTTATATGGGAAAACAGAGCAGATTAACCTTTACCTTATACAGTTATTCAATCTCCTTGTTCGTCTTTCACTGAGGCATGGGTATTAAAGATGCATTAGATTTCTCTGTTCTTACGAAGGACTGAAAAATCATAAGCGTCTTTGCCTTTTCAATCTGATAATTAATTTAGATCAGTTTTTAATACATATCAGCCAAATGCTGCTTTTATGTTTAGCTCTGCTATATGAGCTGACAAGTAGAATTTCATACCTGTAGTGGAAGTCAAAAGACTTGTGAAATATTATACTGAAACAGTTTATTAGAATGCTTCCCATGGTTTCTGGTATATAGCTGCAATGGCAACAGTGTCAGACTCCGGTGTAACACTCTGCTTCTTTTCTACCGTCTTGCATTTCTATTTATTTTCTGCCAGCTGCAGAAACCCGAGAGGCCAGCTCAGTAGTGCAGCGAGGATGTGAAGTTGAGGGAGGTGGAGATGGGGTGAGTAGATGTGGAGTCGATGGTGGAGAGAAAAACAGAGAAAGGAAATGAAAAGATGAGGGCTTCTGTCGCTGGCAGCTAGACTGTTGTTGCTGCTCTCCCATCCAGTTGGCGAGCAGTGGAGCTCTAAAATAAGTGCCGACATCTGGGGCTAGAGAATACGTCACCTACTACTTACTAGTACTTTCACTTGCCAGATTTCCTCGAAGGAACACAGTGCTCACCAAATTTAGATGAATATAAACATCACATCTCCCCTTAGTTGGTTGAGGCCTGGCTAAGTCTTTGTTTGTAACTTAAAGCCCTGTGTAAACTATATATATGATTTTTAGAAGGCTGTGTTAGTCAAAATTTTTCTTAGTCATTAAATCCCATGAAAAAACACAGAGGCATTAGCCTGTCTCTCAATATTTACAGGCTTCCCTACCCTGTCTGTAGCCTCAAGTATTCACTCCCTCTGAAGATACAAATCTTTAAGGAAATAGTTTGACATTTTCAGGAAGTATGCTTGTTTGTGTTCTTGCCAAGAGATGGATAAGAGGATTGACACCACTTTTACATCCGTCCAGTGGGACAGTATATGTGGGTGGATGGGGTCATGAGTGGTCACTGTACCAGTCCAAGAAATAGTCCAGCGCACAACATATATAAAACCACCAAGTGTTGCTTTTACGCTTCATTTTTTATATGGATTAAACTACTAAGACCTAAAACGTGCATTTTAAAGGTGGTTTCACTTAAAAAACAAAAAACACAAACAAACTTAAAACTTCTTGGCAGTTTAGTTTTGAGGAGAAATTATGCAATTGTTGGTGACTATTTTCAGCAGCGGATTAATACACATGTGGTGCTGTAGTGAGTAGTTATGGCAGCAGGATAGTACATGTGGGGTTGACTCATCGCTCAGTGCAACATGGTGGCTCTCTCTGGCTTCCTTTTTTTGGGGAAAACTGGAGTTCTAAGGCACAGATTAATGAGGATCATTTCGTAGCAGGTTTTCATGTGATTTGTTGTCAGTAAGAACAATGTAAATCTTTACCAGCCTCTTAAAGTGACACCCAACTGCAAGTTTTTTGATGTTGAAACGTAAAGATAAACAACTCAACTCAAAAAGAAAATAAGCTGCTGAAAAGCCGCCTAAGTGATATCTGTGGTGAATGTTGAAAATGTCAACCCTTTTATCTTGCCTGTCACTCTGTAACCTCTCACCCTGCCCTCAGTTTTTGTAGATTAATGGCTGGCTTGCCAATGAAAGGTCAGATTTCAGCTGTGGTGATCACTCTGACCTTTTTCCCTTTCACCCATACAACCGGACAGAAAGTGTTCTTTGACCAACCCTACCTTAATATAACCACGAGCCATGCTTCTGTTTTATTCATGGTCACATACCAAACTTGACCTTTTAACATGGTAACCTAAGGAGACAGTGTTTGAGATCGGCTCTAATATTTCCCCACATGACATCACAGGCATGTTTCTTTACTTGAAGTCTGTAAAGAAAGAAAGAAATCACTGAGACCCTGATTTAAAATAGTAAGAGAGTTGAGTGCAAATTGCTTCAAAATGTTCATGTAATTCTCTATCAACTATCCATTATGTTGTCATCGTGTCCAGCATTTGTACATTTGTTTTGAAAGTGGTTTTGAGCTGGCAAAATTGTGCCTTAGCGGTTTTTCACCCCCTTAGTCCCAGAGAAATGGCTGCTCAGCCTCGCACAAAATCCCAATCTTGAGCCTTCCCCTGAAGGATTGACCTGTGGCTGGAGTAGCCTGTTTGTGGCCTAACCTCTTTCTTATCCTCCACTGCAGAGTAAATAACATTCTGCATGGCTGTCTGGGTCGGTCGGTCTAGGTGAATACAAAAAGCTTTGTGCAGTGGTCCATGCTGTTTATGGCCTAAAGAGGTGATTATCCTTAAAATGTTTAGAGAAACTTACATGGAGACAAGGTTAAGGTGCCATGCTCTCTGGAGGTATCTCAGCCTGTCTGTATTTAGGACTTTGGTAAAAAGAATTGCCTGTCCTCTAGAGATGTCAGGATGGCGATCTGGATGAACTCAGATAGATTTTAACATTTGCATCATGTGCAAATTATTTGTTAAGGCTTTTCTTTTGTTGTCAAGGTGACAAACATGCATCTCATTCACATTCACTACAAAGGATGAGTTACATGTTTAAAGATATTTTATTTCCTCAGTACAAACCTAACCTGACATGCCAGATGGTTTGTTACACAGAACCATCTGGGAAGGCTTTGTTGGAAACTGTTTGGAAAAGGGCAGGTGCTTTCAAAAAAAAATACTTGACTCGTGATTGGATG